GCATTTTTAAATAACATGTAGTCAACAGCGTAAAGCTACAGATCTTCAAAATTCAAAGAAATCTTAAAACAAAATTTTCTAAACAGCTGATTATGTCCAACTTACCTGGTTTACATCGTAGTTCTGTATCTAAGACCCCAGAAAGAACTTCCTCTATTTTCTGCACTATTTCTTCATTTGGTAGGCTCCTGGCAGAGGCAGCTGCATCACCTGCCTGGTTTCCTTCAACAGGTGTATTTGTTTCACCATTCAGCTGGCCTTCACTCCTTCCACTTGACAGGAAAAGTTACCAAAACTCATTAATTTTTATCACACCATACAGTGAACCAATAATTTAGTATCATATATAATTATTTATTTAAATAATCTTACATTCTCCATACATTTCATCCTTTTCCTGTGTCAGACATTTGTCACAAACAGTACTTAAGACTACATGCTTAGTATATTTTCATTTTCACACAACTGCGTATTTATCAGAATAGTTAAAAGTTAAGCAAAAGTATATGGGGCCAGCAGATAGCATAATGGTTACATTGCTGGACCCCCACATAGTCAACTGAGGTTCCAGTCTCGGGCCCAGTGGCTTAAACTCGAACCAGGCACATGTGTATGCATGCACAAAATCCCAAGAGGAGAATGGAGAAGGGATTGAGGTGTGGCCATTCCCCCAGAGGGAGATTTCTCTTTCTGTCTCTCTGGTAAGCGCACATGTCCTATAGCAAAGACTCTCAAAGAAAAAAAAGAAAAAAAAAAAAAAGGGTGTATTGAACAGTTTTCCAAGCCCTTTTAAAAATAATTTCAGAAATTTAAAGTTTCTTGTTACCTACATATTTCTTGCAAAGCAAAAATTAAAGCACGATCACAAACTGAAAAACACAGTCTAAATGACCTAACATTAAGATATAAATTATGGCTACAATAAAGCCACACCTGTGCAGAGATCACAATCCTCATCAAAAGTATTAAAGAACACAAGTTAGCTACTGACACAATGAATAAACAGCTGTGTGTACCCATCATTAGGGTTTAGACGGTTACTAAAAATGCCACAGAGTGGGTCCAGCAGGTGGTGTGATGGTTAAGGTGCTGGACTCCCAAATGGCACGGTTCAAGTCCTAGACCAGCAGCTTGAAAAAAATTACACCAGTTGCACAAGCTGGTGCACCTAAAATCTCAGGAAGAGAACGAAGGAGAGGGGACTGTGGTATGGTCATCCCCTCTGGGAAGTGATTTCTCACTTTCCCTTTCACTATCTGTCTGTCTCTCTTTCTGCAGCAAGTTCACATGACCTAAGCCTAAAACCCTTAAAAAAAAAAAAAAAGCCACAAAGGGGGGTCAGCAGGTGGTAAGGCGATTAAAGCACTGGACTCACTCATCAGGTTGATTATGGTTTGAGTCCAAGATCCAGTGGCTTGAAAATCACACTAGGCACATGTGCATGTCCAAAATCCCAAAAGGAGAATAGAGGAGAAAGGACTGTGGCATTGCTACTCCCCCACCAACCCTGGAAGGGACTGGGAGTGATTTCTAATTTTTGCTCTCTCTCTCTGGGGCGCAAGTACCCTCCCTAAGCTAAAAGCCCAATCAATCATTCACACACTATAAAATATATTTTAAAAATAAGAATCCACAAAGGCTTCTTTTTGAAATGTACGTACACAATTTTTTACCCAATTATCAAAAATCCTGGTATTGAAAAATGACTGGCGTTCAGAAAAATTCGCGTAAAATTGAGTTGGCAAAGTAGCGTGGTGGTTAAAGGTGCTGGACTCCCACATGGCTGACTGCAGTTCAAGACACCAGACTTAGTGATTTGCCTTCTCATTTTCTGTTTCTCTCTAGTCAAACATAATAATAATGACAATAATAAAATAATTCTTTTAAAGAAATTCACATTGTGGCTGGCACATGGCATGGTAGTTAAAGGCGCTGGATTTCCACATGGCCAAGTGTGGTTTGAATCCTGGTTCTGGCAGCCTACTTTCTCGCCTTCCCTTTCTGTCTCTCTCTGGTCAAATTTTAAAAATAACAAAAAGAAATGGAATTAATAAATAATAATTCTTTTTTTAAAAAAATTCACATAAAACTAATAGCAATTCATATTAATAAATGGAAAGCTTAATATATTTCCAATTCACTGTGCCAGATAAATCATCTGCTTTTTTTTATTAAGTGTGCGATAGGGTGTGTGCGCTCAGAGAAGACAGATCGAGATTAGAAAAGTGATAAATCACCCCCCAAGAGAGAATGGCTATGCCACAATCTACCCTCCTTTTGGGATTCTGGGCATGTACTCTTGGTCCGTGTTTTTCAAGACACAAGATTGGGGACTCAAACCATACAGTGGCCATGTGGGATCCAGCCGCCTTAACCTCCAATCCATCTACTAGACTCCCATAGAATCTTAATACAGATAAGAACATATCATTTCACCTAGTCATTTTTAGTATTTGTGCAAATTTTCAAATCTTGTAAACTTATTTCAACAATGCATTCGATTTAAATTTAACCTCGATTTTAGCTCACTGAAAACACAACATATCATTTTGCTCCAATAACTGAAGAAAGTCTGAATGGCCTAAAAACAAATCATTCTGGCGTTAAATGTTAAAATACATCTAGTTTTCTAATACTATGAATCAAAAGTAGTAATAATCAACACTTATTGATAACTGACGAGTGTCACACTGTTGTACATCTTTTAACTCATTTAATCCTAACAGAGTTATAAGATCAAAACTACTATGTATTGTATTAAGTGATAGAAATGAGGCACAAAAACAAGAAACTCAGCTGAAGGTCACACTCAGAAGTGAAAGATACTGAAAACCAGGGCCCATACTCTTAAGTACCTTCTAAAAACAACAGTTTGAAAACATTTTAACTATTTAAATGTCAGCCTCATTACACTGATACAAACAAAAGCAGTTACAAAGGAAAAAAAAGTTCATCAAAATAGCAAATAATCAAAAATTCACTTTAGACTGAAATTACATGGTGTTAGAGCAGCTTCATGTTCCTCTATCTAAGCTCCTTTATCTAAGACTTTCTTCCTGAAATCCTGTATTTTACACTTTTCCTAAGCACTTCTATGTACATAAATATTAACTTTAAAATGAGGTTAGTACAATTTTTAAAAGTCAGTCTATATGCAAGTAATCACAATTTCATTTTAAGGTACCACGATGTTAATTGTAATCATTGAAAAACAATGAAAATTTCAAACCACCAAAATATCTGACAGTATATTACTATACAACAGAATTCTGTGCAGACATGAAGAATGCTATTAGACTGAAAATAATGAGCAAAACTGTTGATGTACTGTAAACAAAATACAAAGTGATCCCATTTCATAAAGTGTATCTGTGCACACAAGAAAAAGTGAAAAAAATGTAAGAACATAAATGACTGTGGATTGTTTGTTTTTCCTGTTTTCTAAATTTTCTACTAAAGGAAACACATTTTTAATAAAACTATTTATAAGAGCTATAAAAACGTGGGTGATTATGCAAACTATACTACATTGCATGCAATTATAAAGTTTTCAAGAAAATTATATTCCTTCAATTTTGTCTCTTCCTATCCTAAAATACTAGCAATATAAAAAAAATTTTAAAAAGTGAAGCAACAAGCATTTACATTTCTCAAGCTATCATGCAATAATAGTCATTCTAACAATAATACCAAACTGCCCCCAAAATCTTAAATTAAGTTTGGCTTTTGAGTGTTCAGCTGATTTTCAAAATCTCCTATTGCTGTTGATCTCAACTTTTAAAATACGATTAGCAAAACAAATACTTAAGTTTCAAGCTCTCTTCCCAATCTCTATACTTAAAAATGAATATTTTATACGATGCAAAAATACTTAAAAGAACATGACCCACAGTATTTTCCTTTGGAAGTAAACAACTATTTCTTTGTAAATCTCCTCCCCTCCAAATTACGTGGAACCAAGGGTAAACTGACAGTAATGGTAAAAAATACCCTGCTAGCCAAATATATCAACTGGGGAAAGGGTAGCAAAAAAAGATATACACAAAGACCACTTTACACTTAGTAAAATTAAGTAACTGATAGTATTTCCAAGTCATCTTCCATTTCATTTTGAACATTTTATCAAAGTACCTACTATTAATTTGAGCTGCTTTAAAATTCTGATCTACTAGCATGCTGCCCAGTGGAAGCTACAGGACATGGACCTGGATAATCTAATTAATGGACCTCGACCCCCAAACCATACGAAGCTTGCGATAATAAGGCGGATTTAAGATTACCCAAGAAACGGCCGTTAGAGACCCTTTCCGGTCGTAGGCACCGGCCGGCGAAATCCGCGGAGCCAGCGAGGGGGAGGGGAAACGCGGCGGCGGAGGAGGAGCAGAGGAAGGAACTAGGCCCGTCCCTGATGGACCAGGCCTACAAGTAACTAAAGGACAGGGAGTAACCAAAAGGGAGACAAGGGTGAGCATCTTAACTTGGTTCTAAACGAGGGAGTCTGGGATTACTTCAGAAAGGGCGAAGCTCCTCAGGGGGAAAGGAGGGAGTGACGTGGGGGGATGGGGAGGAGGGCCCGGAAAATGGATCCCAGGCCCAGGCGGGGCCGCAGCGGGGCCTGAGCCGAGGAACGACAGCACCTCTGAAGAAAGGTGCCATGAAAGGCTAGGTTGAATCCTAACGGTCCGTTGGGAGCAGAAAGGCCTAGGAGGCATTTACCTGGAGAGCTCCTGTTGAATCTCCCGGAATTTACTGACCACGAAAGACCTAAAAACCTGCTCGATGTTGGTCGCCATGGCGTCCGCTCCGTTCTCTCAACTCCTCCTCGCTAGTCCTCCAGGCTCCCAGCATGCCTAGGGAGGAGGCGAAGCGGCCAATTCCGTCTCTCGCCTTCCTGATTGGCTCCTGTGGGAGCGTCCGGACCCGCACGCTCCGACAACGGACCAATCAGTGAGCACGGCCCTGCTCTCCTCCGCTGTTTCTGAGCGGCTGGGGTAGAGGTGCTGACGTTTGCGCCGCGTACGACCATGTCCGCCATGTTAGTGTCTGACGCAGGCGCCATTACAGGAGCAGTCTCTCTTGAGGCGACTGTCAGCTAGTCCCTGACAGTGTTTGGGGAGCTTAAGGGGTTTGAGGCAGCGACTAGACGCCTGGAATTAGAGGCAATGAGGAAACGGAACAACAGGGCAACAAAGTGTTTTGACACGGGGCCTCCGGAAGTTCGCGGGTGGTGCCAAGTTCAGTTTCGTCAGGGCCATGCATCCGGGAACGAGCTAATCAGCCCCCGCCCCCACTGTGATGTGACTACGAAGAAAACGTTTTGATCCCGTCTCTTATTGCAGTCCTATAAGCGACCTCATTTCCTTAGCAAAAGGCCAGCGGTCCCGGGCGATCTGCGTTTAGAACCGGGTGCGTTCTAGTCTCGTCAGGCGCCAAGCGTGTCACGAGACTAAGGCAGTAGCTGTTCAGTTTTGACTCGCTAGCGGCGCACCGTGAGCTAGGGTTAGCGTTCTCACGCTCCCACTCCCCGGGGCTCCGTGGGCTCTCGGAGAGGAGCGTTACGGGGAGTTACGTGGCATCTTATTCAGTGTCACACTGTACCCGTGCCAGGGGCTCAGCGACTTTGCTTGCGAACCGCCTGGCCGCGCCCCATGGTGGGAGGGAGTCACACCGATTCCTTAGCCGCGGGGACCACGGCCCTCGCCAACCAATGGGAGGGGAAGCCCGCCCCCCGGCCGGGGAGCCGGGGCGGGCGCGCGGCGGATCCCGCCGGGCCGACTTCCGGCGAGCGAACGAGTGCGAGCGGCGTGGCCGCCCGGTGTCGGTGCGTAAGGCTCCTCCGCTTTTAAATAAAGTATGTTTAGACTTCGGTTTATGGGGTTAGTTGCCAGGAAGGGAGTGAAACTGTTGGAACTGGATTGCCGGTCGAACTGTTCGTTTTTATTTTTAAATGCAGTGGATGGGGTTTGGCCATGTGCTTCGTCCTTTTCGATTAACTGATGTTTACTTCTTTGGTTTATCTGTTTCCCTGCTAAGATGTTAGGGCCCTTTTGTATATATATGTTTGTGCTCTTACAGGCCGTAACCTAAGTTGGTGTACTTATTTTATCGTTATGCACACATTAACCCTAGAAAATTATGTGCTCCGCTTTTGCCATTGGTTTCTATCTTATTTACCGAATTACTTGAAATGACTTTACTTGGTTGTCTTACTCTCCTTAGAATTGACTCATTCCGATGACTGAGGCCCAAAAAGATTAGTCTCTCAAAGCTCTCCCACCTAAGGAGAGGCAGGATCTCAACCCAAGCCCAGGCACTCTGACTCTGGAGTGAAGGTCTGACCGCTCCTGGTGTAGATTCCTTCGGGCTAGATAGTAATGCTGTATCAATAATGGCCATGATAAACAGGAAAATTCTCCCGCCCTGCCGCACTTAAAGATATTACAGTATTTTCTCCAGATCTAAAGATATGTTGATTACAGATATTTCAATACACATGGCAAGTAAAATCTCTATTTTCTCTTAAACTGAAATAGCTTTTCTTCCTGAGACTGTAATTTAGTAGTCTTTTTTCTTTTCTCAAATTTTTAATGATCATCATTCCAATTGATAGGGTATCTGAATCAAAGTAACTGCAATTGGTTGGAATCCAGACTTTACCTTATTGGTGTGACGAGACTATCTACTTCATAAAATTCTTATGAAGATTAAGGAAGTTGATTCATGAGGAGCTTTTAGAATAGCACTTGGCATAAGGTAAATGCTTAAAAAAGTTTTACGTTTTTATATTTCTTAGATGTTTCAGTGTGTAATCCTAGCATCTCACAGGAAGTTATCAATTTGCTTCCTTTTTTCACTTCTGCATAAGTAAATGTCTTGTGAATTAGTAACCTGGGAAGGGTACCAAGAGCAAAGCTCACCCTCCCGAGTTGAACAAACTTCTGAACAAGAAGTTATCATTGAAATTAAATGGTGGCAAGTGTGTCCGAGGAATATTGTGGAAATTTGATCCATTTATAAATATATAATAGATAAATGTGTTGGGATGACAACTAATGGGCAACAGAATAATATTGGGGTGGTGGTAATACATGGAAATAGTATCATCATACTAGAACCCTTGGAATGAGTGTAAATAATGGCTGTTCAAAAGAACAATGCGTGTCCTCTGCTTCTGCCCAATAGGCCTGTTTGACTATGACATAAAAATCGAGTCAAGTACATTTTCTTAATGAACTTTTTGTTAAGTAAACTTTTTTAAAAAGTAGAAAATTAGTAACCTATGGTAACATTTTTTCCATTCCTTTGGGTTTTTTTTTAAATCTATATAACAATTTGAGTACTTGTTTGTATTCCTAAGGTATCTATTTAATTAAAGATAATAAAATAGAACAAGTTAGTATTACTACAGCTGAGCACTAGAAATTGTATTCATTATTTATCAATGTAATTTCAGTTAATACTTACCTAGTCAATTAACACAGCTAGCTTGAGATGCACTTATCTCACACCCACACACAATGTAGCAACTAAAGTGAGATGTGTTCAATTTTGAGTTTTTGCCTTCTCTAGCACTTTTTTTTCTTTGACTTTCCAGAAGCATGTCTGCAATTGCCAGAGAAAGAAAAAAAGCACCTCCCAATTGGGTTTAGTCATGCCATAAAGTCTCCATCTTGTCAGGATTTGGGGTACACATGTACATGTGCCCAGTGTGTTATTCAAGTCACTGGGGCAGGGATTCAAACCACAGTCAGCTATGTGAGATCCAGCTCTTTTAACTACTAGGCTACTGAACAGCCCTTGATCAGTTTTCTAACATATCACACTGGCTTCTTACATCAAAAGTCTGGGGACCAGAAGTTAACGTAATGGTTATGTCGCTGAACTCCCATGTATTTGACCGTGGTTTGCGTTCTGGACCTGGTGGCTTAAAACTCACGCCAGGTACGTGTGTGCGTGCACGTGCCCAAGATCCCAAGAGGAGAACGGAGAACAGAGGAGAAGGGATTGCGGCGTGACCATCCCCCCTTGGGGGTGATTTCTCGCTTTTTGTCTGTATCTATCTCTATCTGGCAAGCTCAAGTGCCCTATAGCAAAAACCTCTCCAAAAAAAAAAAAAGAGTCAGCAAACTACATCCTACATGCTAAATCCTTCTGCCAATTTCTTTGTACAGGCCACCAAATAAAAATGGTTGGGAAAAAAATAAAAGGAAAAAGATAATGTTTTTATAACGTGAAAAGTATGAAATCTAAATTGTGGTGTCTGTAAATAAAGTTTTATTGAAGCACAATTGTGCTTTTTACAAACCTCTGATGGCTTCCAGTTGCTCAGAGAAGTAATAGGCAAAGTGATTCCTGGCCCACCAGCTATTCATGTAAGTTGTTTTTCTTCCCATTGGCATATTCACCCATTTATGTATTGTCTGTGACTGCTTTCATGCTATACAGGCCTAGTTGAACCGTTTTGACCATACGGCCCTCAAAAACTAAAAATATTTACTATCTAGCCCTTTATAGTTTGCTGACCTACTCTTCAATATTTTTTCAATTTTCGATATCTTTGAAAAGTTTTATCTATACAATCTCAAGATTTAAAAACATTTTAAGTTTTAGGTCTCAATTTAAAACAACCATAATCATTTATAATTAAGGCTTGATTATGAAATCTTTTAAAAGTGAAATCTAAGCCAGCCCCACTGTAGAACAGTTAGTACTGTGCTTAGAAACCTAGATCCCAGGGGACCAACAGATGTCATAATGATTATGTCCCTGGACTCCCATGTAGTCAACCGTGGATCGAGTCCTGGAACCAGCAGCTTAAAGCACACTGGGCGCATGTGTGTGTGCCCAAAATCTTAATAGGAGAATGGAGGAAAAGGGATTGTAGTATGGCCATCCCCCTCAGGGGTGATTTTTCACTTTCTGTCTATCTCTCCAGCTCTCAAAAATAGAAATCGGAATGCAATGGTCTATTTCGAGTCCTTTCCCAGTGTCATGAAAACTACTGTGTGCATGTATCCCCAAAATCCTGACACATAGTCTAGTGGATAGAGAAATGGAGGAAAAAGCACTGCAGTATGATACACCCCACAGGGGGAGGTGCTTTCTCTCTCTGGCAAGAGCCCACAGACAGAGGGAGGGAAGGAAAATAGAGTGAAACCCAAAGAAGGGAGATTGTTCATAAGAGATTAACAGATAAGGAGCTAAATCACCATTTCACTTCTTAACCTAGCTCTCTAGGACAATCTGTTTTATTTTTTAAATCTCCTGTTATAGTTCATTTTGTTAATGAATGTGGGTAATTTTAAAAAATAGAATTTAAGGGCCAGCAGGTGGCGTGATGGATGGGATGTTGGATTCCCACATGGCAAACCACAGTTCGAGACTGTTGGGAGTACCTATCTCTCTTTCTCTCTCTTTCTTACGGAAGAAATAAACTTTAGAAAAATGAATTGTTAGAGGAAAATGTTATTAACTATAAGTGGTTAAGTCTAAGTCATTCAGGAATCATAATTTCTAAAGTGTGTACATTTTAAAATGTGAATTTGTTTTCTTCTGCAGGATTCATTTTCCTTTTGAATTCTCGCTTTGCAGACTGCAATGTCAGCCCGAGTACTTGTAATTGGCAATGGAGGGAGGGAACATACACTGGCCTGGAAACTTGCACAGTCTCATCATGTCAGACAAGTATTGGTTGCCCCAGGAAATGCAGGCACCGCATCCTCAGAAAAGATTTCAAATATTGGTAATTTTTTTTTTTTTTAAAGGCTTTTGCTACAGGGTGCATGGGTTTCCAGAGAGTAAGAAAGACAAAGAGGGAAAGTGAGAACTCACACCCCAGGGAGAGATGGCAAATCTGCATTCCTTTCCACTTTATTCTCTTAGAATTTTGAGCATGCACTTCATGCCCAGTATGATTTTCAAGCCTTCAAGAATTGTAGTCAGCAGATGTTGAGGCGCTGGACTCACACATGGCCAGCCAAGGCCCAGACCTGGTGGCTTGCTTTCTCATTTTCCTGCTCTCTCTACCATCTCTCTCTCAGATTAGATTAAAAAAATAATTAATTAAAATGTAATTTAAATTTTTTTTTTTTAAATGAACGATAGTAAGCCCATGGGAGTCCACTGTGTTAACCAGGATGCCATCTGCTGCCCACTGGTAATCATGTTTTTAAACTGGGGAGTGATGTTATTTGTTAATGATAAATTATCAACCACACTTCTCTTTTTAAAAAAAATAAGGTAAGTTGCTATTTCAAGTTCCAGTGTTTTTCTTTCATCTTAAAATTTAGTTGGTAATTTGAGTACCTGCCATATAGTGTAAACTTATCCTGTTGTTGCGAGTGTGGCAGTTCCTTATCCTAAATTATTTTAAACCTTATGAAACATATCCATTAAGAAAGTAGCAAGTAGGGGACCAGCAGGTTGTATGGTGGTTAAGGTGCTAGACACTCCCACATGGCCAACCATGGTTTGATTCCCAGACCTGGTGGCTTGCTTTTTCACTTTCTCTCTCTCTCTCTCTCTCTGTGTGTGTGTGTGTGTGGGTGTGTGTGGTGTGTCTGGTCAAATTAAAATAAATGAATGAATAGATAAAATTAAAAGAATTTAAAAAGTAGCAAGTGCATAACACAGATTAAAGGCATTTTGATGTGGCTTTTCCAAATTGAAAAATTGAGTAATGCTATCAAATATATAAATCCTAGCAGTTTGGGCTTGAAAATATATAGATCTCAGCCCTTATCTCTTTGGCAGGTATAAAATGGGTAAATAGAGCCAGCAGGTGGCATAGTGGTTAAGGCACTGGACTCCCACATGGCGGATTGCCCTTCAATTCCCAGACCCAGTGACTTGAAGCTCTGTGCTAGGTGCATGTGCGTCCAAAATCCTGAGAGAAAAAATGGAGAAGGGATTCCAGTGTGACCATCCCCCTGGGGAATAATTTCTCACTTTTTCTATATATATATGCATATCTGTATATCTTTGGGGAGCACATGCTCCCTATAGCAAAACTCTATTAAAAAAAAAAGAAGAAATGATCACTTCATATACTACTTAAACTTCAGTGACTTCCCATAGTACTTAGGATAAAACTCAACCTCCTTACTGTGCTTTACAAAGGTCCTTAATGCAATCTTGCTCCTGCCTACCTTTTCAGCCTGACCTTTTGTATTCGTGTTTCTCTTTTCATTTTACTCAATTCATGCTTTTCTGCCAATTTCCTAAACAAAGCCACCTTCCTTGGACTTACTTGTTCCCATGCCCTCCACATCATTTAGCACTCAAATTTTACCTTTTCAAGGAAGCATTTCCTAAAGTTTATGATTAAAGCACGTGTCTACCCCATGTTTTTTGGGTTTGTGTGTGTGTGTGTGTTTTAAGATATTTTTTGCTATAGGGCACATGCACTTGCTGGAGAGATAGGGCAGAACGTGAGAAATCACCCCGCAGAGTGGATGGCCACACCTCAATCCCTTTTCTTCCATTCTCTCAGGATTTGGGGCACATGTGCCCGACATGAATGTTAAGCCACCAGGTCCAGAACTTGACCACGATGGACCACGTGGGAGTGCAGCAATATAACCATTGCACCATCAACTGGTCCCCCCTCATGTTTTCTCTCATGAACCATTATCTGTATTTATTTTTGCTTCCTATTACCTAGCCTGTCTTCCCCTTTAGAACATAAGCTCCGTGAGGACAAGGAGGTGATCTGTCTGGTTTTGAACTGTGTATACAATGCTTAGTGCCCTGGGTAGCTCATAATACTGATGGGGAGAAAGGCAAACTAATAAGGAAAACGCAAAATATCCTCTTTTCCTGGGATCTTAGCTATGCAGGTGAGGTAACGTTTCTGTTTATTGAAAAACTAACATGTTGGGACCAGCACTTAGTGTAATAGCTATGTCGCTGGACTCCCATGTAGTCAACCACAGTTCAAGTCCCGGATCCAGTGGCTTAAAACTCAGGCCAGGCGCATGTGCATGCATGCCCAAGATCCCGAAAGGAGGAAAAGGGATTGAGGCGTGGCCATCCCCCCTGGGGGTGATTTCTTGCTTTCTGTCTCTCTGTCTCTGTCTTGTAAGCACACATGCCCTATAGCAAAAACCTCTCAAAAAAAACCCAAACAACAGGTTTTATCTATGTGTATTTGAGATCATACAGACAGGCCCATCACAATCTCCCGGGATTGTCATGAAGCTGTTACTACTTGTAGCCACTCAGGTTAGGCATGTTTTTCTTCCTCTTACTGCCCTCCGCTGTACTAATTTAGTTGACCCTTTTCAGTCCAGTTGTGTTGGAGGTACTAAACCAAGGCATGTAATACTCTGCCTTAATCACACTTAAGGGATTCTTCTACATTGAGAACTCTGCTCTTTCTGGGCCCGAACCCTACACATCACAACTGCCATATTTGTACCCTGTACCTATGTACAGAGTGATTCAAGACTTCAACTATCTGGAGAAGCCTAATGTACCATATTTTGAGTTTCTCATGGTAAAACTGTCATCTGTCCAATAAAAGAAAACCAATAGTTATCAGGCATGCTAAAGTGTAGTCATTTTTAGCAAGATAACTATTCTACCTAAACAGTGCTTTGGTTAATGCAGTAGGTTTGTTTGTTTTTTCTATTCACAGCCATCTCAGTCAGTGATCACACTGCCCTTGCTCAATTCTGTAAAGATGAGAAGATAGAATTAGTAGTTGTTGGACCAGAGGCACCTCTGGCTGCAGGTAAAGTTCTCTTTTTTTTCCCTTAATTTTTTGTTACGGTATATATAGTGTCAACAGGAGCTTAGGAAATCATCTAAACCAGTTCATTTTACAGAACAGGACTTAGAATATCATATTGGAAAAAGAGCTTTTACTCTCTTGAAATTTGTGAACTCCAGGTCCCCCCCCCTCAGATATCAGAAATGTTATCAATAGATCAAATTTACAGCTGTGGAAAACATTGTATATGTCTTTATTCTGTTATATGTTTAATAACCCTTGTATTCTAATAAAACAAATTACTTTTGCTAGATTTCAATCACATGTTTGGAGCATTTTGTTGATACCCAGTAGACAACATGAAAAAATTATCTTCTGCCACCAGTCATCTCCCTTGACTGAATGTAGATTTAGAGTAATCCTAATTCATCTTCAGTCTGAGAAGCCCCCAAAGATACTTTGGTTCACCTGAGGCTACTGTTTGCATTGATAGGAATTGTTGGGAACCTGACATCTGCAGGAGTGCGATGCTTTGGCCCTACTGCAGAAGCAGCTCAGTTAGAGTCCAGCAAAAAGTTTGCCAAAGACTTTATGGACCGACATGGAATCCCAACTGCACGATGGAGAGCATTCACCAAACCTGAAGAGGCCTGCAGCTTTATTATGAGGTAGGTAGAAGGCTGCCTGTGGAGGACAGTTTTGTTACGATAGTCAAGTATCATTTTCATGTTCAAAGTATGTTATTGGGTTCTTTTAGGCTATCACATGTTTACAGTAAAATAATAATGGGCAAGACATTTCTCAATAAATTTTAGGTGAGTTGCTTTTTCAAACACCAAAATAAATAAAATGGCGTTTCAGGGAATTTAAATTTTAATACTTTTTAGTGAGTAGTTCCTTAGGGAGAAGATAGACTTCATTTTTTTTTTAAGAATTATATATTTTGGGACTGGCAGATGGCATGGTGGTTAAGGGCACTGGACTCTCACATGGTCGACCATGGTTCAATTCCTGCACCTGGCAACTTGCTTTCTCACTTTCCCTTTCTCTCTCTCTCTCTTACTCTGTCCTTCTCTGGTCAAATTAAAATAAATAAAGTTAATTTTTAAAGAAGAATTATTTTATTCAACTTTATTTATTATTACTAATTTTTAATTTGACCAGAGAGAAAACGGGAAAGAGAGAAAGCAAGCCACCACATTTGGGACCCAAATGGCCATGTGGGAGTTCAGTGCCCTAACCACCATGCCACCTGCTCGCCCCAGTAAACTTCATTCTTAGTCATGTGCCCTTTTCACAGCCAAACTGAAATACACAGTGGCAACTTACAACGTAAGGTATTTTGATTTTTTTTTTTTTTTGTATATTTAACCAGAGTGAGCAATTACCATTTGCTCATTTGTCATCACTATTCTTAGTCTAAATCCCCAAATTAGACATTATTTGTTCTTTATTATATGGAAAACTTTGAGCAGTTAAAGAATGTTGGTAGACATACATCTTTGCCCCTTTTTTGTTGACACTTCTTTCTGTTACCTGGTATGTTTTCCTCTTGGTTGGGTTTGTTTCATTCTTCATTCTTTATCCTATAGGTTTTGGGTTTTTTTTAAGAGAGGTTTTTGGTATAGGGCACATGTGCTTGCCAGAAAGACAGAGACAGAAAGTGAGAAATCACCCCCCCCAAGGGGGATGGCCACACCGCAATCTCTTCTCCATTCTCTTCTCGGGATCTTGGGCACGCATGCACACGTGCTCAGCGTGAGTTTAAGCCACCGGGTCTGGGACTCAAACCACAGTCGACTACTTGGGAGTCAAGCGACGTAACCATTAGGCTATCTGTGGATCCCTCCTATAGGGTTTCTTAAGCAGTGAATATTTTTATTTCCTTATAGCCAGGTTCCTTGGGTCATTAACAGTTTTGTTACTTACTTTGGGTAAATCTCCTTCCAGATCCCCATTCCCACTGAATAGTTTCTTTTATGTACTTCCAGAAATGGCCTATATATCCATGCTTTTATTGATCTTACACAAGCCACTTACGTGAATGAAAGTAAGATTCACTATTTTGTATTCTAAAGATCATTCCATATATATCCTATGTATATGCTCATTCATAAGGTTTTACTGATGTGATCTCATGATAAGTGAAGAAAGCAAAAATTATGTAACTCTACGATCTCAACCAAAAAGGAATGAGTGAGAGAAAAAAATGGCATGAAGTGCATCAAAATGGAGGAAAAATAAGTTTTGGGAAAATGTTGCTTTTTACTATCAGTTGTTGCTATAGCATTTTATTATAAAAATCTCAAAAGTATTTAAAATTTTTGAGTTGTAAGCATTTATTGGATATTAAAGAGTCCTCTGTCTTCATAGTGCAGACTTTCCTGCTTTGGTTGTGAAGGCCAGTGGTCTTGCAGCTGGGAAAGGTGTGATTGTTGCAAATAACAAAGAAGAGGCCTGCAGAGCTGTGCAGGAGATCATGCAGGTAGATTGATTCTTCTGGAAAGGTTTACTTTTGTATTTACACTATACAAATAATCTTTTAAGTTTAAAAAATATTTTCAAGATAAAACTTGTCTAGCAAACATACAAGTAAGGAATGTATCAAAATACTGTGTATTCTAATACATTTCTATAAAATGACTATTATAGACATATGCTGATGACTAAACATGATTTTCTTCTTTTGAAGTAAGTTCTGTCATCCTTTGTTGTCTGAAAGGGAAAGAAAGTCCTCAGATTATGGAACATATAAATAAATCTCAACCCATTCATGAGGACAAAGTCTTGTTCTGTGTGCCCCAGATCTAAGAGAAGTAAAATAATGAATATACTTTTTTTTCTTTCACGATCAATCTTGTTTGTTATGAGTTTCCCTCACTATAGAAATCTACTTTGACCAGCATGCTTTCATATAATTGTTACATAGAAATTTATATAATGATAATAAGGAATTAGTATTAAATGGTGATAATGACAACAACTTGTTTTTCCCTTACCTTATTTAAATAAGAAAACTAAATCTTTAGGAGAGCATTAGTAATTTGTTCATTTAAACTGTACAGTGTGAGCTCTTATCTTTAACACATTAACAATAGAAAACATTCTTACGTTCCTATGAATCTTTCAGAAAAGGAAAGGAAAATTACAATATCTGTGTATTGGTTTATAATGCAAATGGGGGTTCTTTTAGGCTATCACACGTTACAGTAAAATAATAATGGGCAAGACATTTCTCAATAAATTTTAGGTGAGTTGCTTTTTCAAACACCAAAATAAATAAAATGGCGTTTCAGGGAATTTAAATTTTAATACTTTTTAGTGAGTAGTTCCTTAGGGAGAAGATAGACTTCATTTTTTTTTTAAGAATTATATATTTTGGGACTGGCAGATGGCATGGTGGTTAAGGGCACTGGACTCTCACATGGTCGACCATGGTTCAATTCCTGCACCTGGCAACTTGCTTTCTCACTTTCCCTTTCTCTCTCTCTCTCTTACTCTGTCCTTCTCTGGTCAAATTAAAATAAATAAAGTTAATTTTTAAAGAAGAATTATTTTATTCAACTTTATTTATTATTACTAATTTTTAATTTGACCAGAGAGAAAACGGGAAAGAGAGAAAGCAAGCCACCACATTTGGGACCCAAATGGCCATGTGGGAGTTCAGTGCCCTAACCACCATGCCACCTGCTCGCCCCAGTAAACTTCATTCTTAGTCATGTGCCCTTTTCACAGCCAAACTGAAATACACAGTGGCAATTTACAACGTAAGGTATTTTGATTTTTTTTTTTTTTGTATATTTAACCAGAGTGAGGAATTACCATTTGCTCATTTGTCATCACTATTCTTAGTCTAAATCCCCAAATTAGACATTATTTGTTCTTTATTATATGGAAAACTTTGAGCAGTTAAAGAATGTTGGTAGACATACATCTTTGCCCCTTTTTTGTTGACACTTCTTTCTGTTACCTGGTATGTTTTCCTCTTGGTTGGGTTTGTTTCATTCTTCATTCTTTATCCTATAGGTTTTGGGTTTTTTTTAAGAGAGGTTTTTGGTATAGGGCACATGTGCTTGCCAGAAAGACAGAGACAGAAAGTGAGAAATCACCCCCCCCAAGGGGGATGGCCACACCGCAATCTCTTCTCCATTCTCTTCTCGGGATCTTGGGCACGCATGCACACGTGCTCAGCGTGAGTTTAAGCCACCGGGTCTGGGACTCAAACCACAGTCGACTACTTGGGAGTCAAGCGACGTAACCATTAGGCTATCTGTGGATCCCTCCTATAGGGTTTCTTAAGCAGTGAATATTTTTATTTCCTTATAGCCAGGTTCCTTGGGTCATTAACAGTTTTGTTACTTACTTTGGGTAAATCTCCTTCCAGATCCCCATTCCCACTGAATAGTTTCTTTTATGTACTTCCAGAAATGGCCTATATATCCATGCTTTTATTGATCTTACACAAGCCACTTACGTGAATGAAAGTAAGATTCACTATTTTGTATTCTAAAGATCATTCCATATATATCCTATGTATATGCTCATTCATAAGGTTTTACTGATGTGATCTCATGATAAGTGAAGAAAGCAAAAATTATGTAACTCTACGATCTCAACCAAAAAGGAATGAGTGAGAGAAAAAAATGGCATGAAGTGCATCAAAATGGAGGAAAAATAAGTTTTGGGAAAATGTTGCTTTTTACTATCAGTTGTTGCTATAGCATTTTATTATAAAAATCTCAAAAGTATTTAAAATTTTTGAGTTGTAAGCATTTATTGGATATTAAAGAGTCCTCTGTCTTCATAGTGCAGACTTTCCTGCTTTGGTTGTGAAGGCCAGTGGTCTTGCAGCTGGGAAAGGTGTGATTGTTGCAAATAACAAAGAAGAGGCCTGCAGAGCTGTGCAGGAGATCATGCAGGTAGATTGATTCTTCTGGAAAGGTTTACTTTTGTATTTACACTATACAAATAATCTTTTAAGTTTAAAAAATATTTTCAAGATAAAACTTGTCTAGCAAACATACAAGTAAGGAATGTATCAAAATACTGTGTATTCTAATACATTTCTATAAAATGACTATTATAGACATATGCTGATGACTAAACATGATTTTCTTCTTTTGAAGTAAGTTCTGTCATCCTTTGTTGTCTGAAAGGGAAAGAAAGTCCTCAGATTATGGAACATATAAATAAATCTCAACCCATTCATGAGGACAAAGTCTTGTTCTGTGTGCCCCAGATCTAAGAGAAGTAAAATAATGAATATACTTTTTTTTCTTTCACGATCAATCTTGTTTGTTATGAGTTTCCCTCACTATAGAAATCTACTTTGACCAGCATGCTTTCATATAATTGTTACATAGAAATTTATATAATGATAATAAGGAATTAGTATTAAATGGTGATAATGACAACAACTTGTTTTTCCCTTACCTTATTTAAATAAGAAAACTAAATCTTTAGGAGAGCATTAGTAATTTGTTCATTTAAACTGTACAGTGTGAGCTCTTATCTTTAACACATTAACAATAGAAAACATTCTTACGTTCCTATGAATCTTTCAGAAAAGGAAAGGAAAATTACAATATCTGTGTATTGGTTTATAATGCAAATGGAAGACAGTGGCAAAAGTCAACTAATAAATTATAAATGCTTGTAATTTACTAAGCTTCTTTTTTTTTTTTTTAACTTGAAATTAGGAAAAAGCTTTTGGAACAGCTGGAGAAACAATTGTTGTTGAAGAGCTTCTCGAAGGAGAAGAGGTGTCTGTACGTATATCTGTTTGTCTTTAACAGACTTTGAGAAGCTGTTATCTGACCTATATGTTCCCTAAAGACTTAAGTTACTCTGGTTGCTTTATCTAAAGACAAAGCCAATAGTTTGTATATAAATTCCCATGGCTAATTTTAATGTGTTGGATACGAATGAAAAGAATTACTTTTTTTTTTTTTTTTTTTTAGTCATTTTCAGTGTGTTATTGGAGACACTTGGATTTATATTACACATTCAAATTCTGGATTAATTCAAAAATTCATGCTTATTCTTTCCATATAGTTTATTTAACAATAAGTAATGAATGGGGTTTTCTTAAAGTTTTAATACTTCCATGGTTAAAGAGAAGAAAAATTGAAATGTTTTGCTTTGAGAGTAGCTTGGTGTTTTCCTAACCTATGTCAAAAAGTATAGATCCTTCAGAAGTTGAATATACAAGATCTTCTCATTCTGAATAAGGTAACTTGGAGCTGTTTGTTTTTCAGTTGATTTTTCTTCAGAAAAGAAAACTTTCTCAAAGAAGGATTGTATTACATGTAGGTTATCATAATGAATTTTTACTTTTTTGTCATTTCACATAAGTGGTCTCTTGTTTTCTCTAGTGTCTGTGTTTCACTGATGGGAAGACTGTGGCACCCATGCCCGCAGCCCAAGACCATAAGCGACTGCTGGAGGGAGATCGTGGCCCCAACACAGGGGGAATGGGAGCCTATTGTCCAGCACCTCAGGTACATCCCAGAGCCTCAGCTAAGTCTCATAGTAATTATTTGGTCTTCTCAAAGAGCTTTTAGATGATGCTTTTCTGTTAGTTATTTTGTTAATTTATTTCTGTGAATTATATTTCTAATCAGCAATCTGATTTTTCTATTAAATTTTCTGTTTTTCTTTTCTGGTTTCTAAAACTAACCTTTTCTAAAAGCCTTTTTGAAAACTAACTTAAGTCAATCTAAAATATGGATCAAATTGATCTGTCTATCGCTTCCTTTTTATATCCACTATTAATCCACTTGAATCTATTACAGTCTAGAGTTATCTTTTATTCATCTTCGTGTATCCAGAACCCAGCACATAAGTGGAGTGTGGTGGGGGAGGGGTGTGAGGTGAATTGAAAACCAGGTCACATCATAATTCCATATAATTTCTGGACAATTTTTATAAGGCGTATACATTGCTAAAGTACATTATAAGTAGGTTAGTACTCCAAAAACTCACACATACTTTTCACTGATGACAGTAAAAATAATTTCTGCTAATATACCTTTTGTATATTTTTCCTGATTCAAAGATTTAAAATAAACCAAACTTCAATTTTTATTTTAGAGTTTATAAGCATTGAATCTACCCCTTGGTAATACTGTGTTACTGTTTTGTTTGTTTTTTATTGCCAAAGGGCTACTGCATTTGCCAGAGAGAACAGGTGCTTCCCAGTGGAAATGTTCACACCATAATCCTTTTTTCGTCTATTTCTTTTTCTCATCACGGTTTTGGGTGCACATGCACCTGGTTTGTTTTTCAAGCCACCAGGGTTAGGATTCAAACCATGGTTGATCATGTGGGATCCAGCTCCCAGTGTATAATGTTTATGTAATTATGGTACTGTAGCGCCCACCTAGTAATACTGATTTTAAAATAAGATCTGTCAGGGCCAGTAGGTGGCATGGTGGTTAAAGTGCTGAACTCCCACATGACTGATTACAAGTCCCAGACCCAGCAGTTTAGAAATCACACTAGGCATGTATGTGCGTTTACCCAAAATCCCAAGAGGAGAAGGGATTATGGCATTACTATCCCCCTTGGGGGTGATTTTTCACTTTCCTTCTCTATCTCTCTTTGCCAAGCACACATACCCTGTGGCAAAAATCCCAAGAAAAACAAAATCTTAAGAACTATTAGAGCTAGCAGTAGCATGGAGGTTAAAGTGGCTGGATACCACATTGCCAACTATGTGATTCATGCCTGGGACCTGGTGACATGCATACCCAAAATCCTGAGGGGAGAAAGATTGCAGCATGGCCTTACCCCCCAGGGGTACTTTCTCATTTCTGCCTTACCCCTATCTCTCCAATGAGTGTATATACCCTACAGCAAACTAAATATATTGATGTATATAGAGCTATTTATGTATTTTCCACAGTTAGATTTATAAACTAAAAGTTCATATATAGGCTTATGAAAGACACATAGAATAGACTTAAATTGGATAGATAGAAAGAACCCTTAGGGTGGGAGAGGACTTCATTTTTATTATTACGTTTCAAGAAACTACTTTTGGTGAACTGCTTGAAGGGTATATATTTTTGAAACTTTGTAGGTTTAGTACATAATTTAGATTTTATTTTATTTTATTT